AGAGGCCGTGTTGTGCCTGCTCGCACCCCAGGAAGCCGGGAGCTTGTGCCTTGGTAAACGCAGCAATTTGCGAACGTGTCTGCGCACACAGGCGGCTTGGAGCCCGGGGCGCGCATCCGGCCGCTGTCGCTTCCCGAGAGATGGACGGCCCGCGGCTCTCGGGGCCTCGGAGACACACACCCGCCGCGGGCTGGCAACGCCCCAGACGCTGGACACCTCGCCTGGGGGACAGTGCCTGTGGGCAGGGAAACAGGGGTGTGGGGGCTCCCCAGCCTTCCCGCCCCCACCCTGTGTGCAGTGGGCCGTTCCAGCCTGTCCCTCTCCCTCTGGACACCCCCGGATCCAGCCCTGTCAGTGCAGCAGGGCTCAGAGGCCACGGCTGGGGCACCTGATGGGCACGCGTTTTCTCTGAACACAGCATCGAAACGCTCCCTAAAAAGTGCTGCTCGCCGGCAGGCGCTGGGCCGGGCGGCCGCCCCCAGGCTCTGTGCAGGCCGAGGATGGCCCCGGCGGCTCCTGACTGGGTCCGTGTTTCTGTTCCCTGCCCCACTCGCGCCCTGGGCTGGAGGTGCCAGGCAGGGACCCACAGGCCACGACGCTGGTCTCATCCTCTTGGATCCGGCCAGGGCCAGCTGGGTCCTCCGTGGTGCTGATGGCCGGCCAGGCATTAGTCCTCTGCCCCCGCCAACTGGTCCTGCCCTAGGTCCCGAGCACCGTGGGTGACCCCTGCTTGGCCAGCAGCCCAGACCCTCGGACAGCAAGGCGGATAGGGCCTCCTCGGCCACGGCCCCCACACGTGGTCCAGAGGCCCAGGCCCTACTGCTCGCGACTCGGGAAGGGTCACTGTGCCCTCAGCAGCTGCGTCCGGGGGGGACAAGCAGGGCACGGGCGGGGGCGCAGCAGACTGGGTGCGAGCCACCCCTCACTGCCTCCAGGGTCTTCCCCAGCAGCCTGCGGATGGCACTGACTCCCCAGACAGCCCAGCCTGGGGCCCTGGGCTTGCTGGGGTCTGTCCCAGAGGCCCAGCTGCCATCACGTGGCCAGGGCTCCCGTCACAGGGGCCGTGGTTAGCGCAGACCCCGGGTGGTTCAGGGTCAACACAGGGGCTCATGTCGCAGGACACGCGAGGGCCTGGCCACCTGGACGCCCTCCTGGGGGCTGTGGTAGGGGACAAGATGGATACGTGGTTCTGGGAGAGGGCGGGGGCCACGTGGCACAGTTCGACCAAGCGCAGAGGACTCAGCTGCGTCTCCTGGGTCGTCCTTGCCCTCGGCTGCTGTCACTGTGCACACTGGACATCCAGCATGGGCAGCCCTCAGCCCCAGGCTCCACCCACCCCACTCCAGCCTCCACCAGTGGTACTGCCCCCCCCACGTGGTCCCCCTGTGTTTCTTTCACTCCCCTTTGCAGGCTGACCCCTCCCCGGGCCTCTACCCAGGGTCCCCCCACCCGGGTCCCGCGTGGGCACCTGGTATCGGTCTCTCCAAGGCCTGGGCAGCGCTGTGGGGCGGAGCCAGGGCAGGCCCAGGGTAGAAGGTAGTGATGGAACTTCCCCGGCCCAGCTGCTGCCCTGGGCGCACCCGTCTCCCTCCCGGCTGTGGGAGACGGAGGTGAGTGATGGCCGCAGCCCGGGCCCTTCTCTCGGTGCTTTGTGAGAATCTGCCTTGGAGTGATGTGGGCAGGGAGGGGCGCTGGGCGGAGGCTGGGGCCAGAAACCGCCCCCCACCCCCGCCGCAGGCCGTCAGCCCTTCCCCCCGACTCCAGGACAGAAGCTCAGTGGCCAGTGGGGCTTGGGAGGGGATCCAGCGCTGTGCTGAGCGCGGCACTTGTCCCTCGGTCACTTGTCCCACACTCAGTGGCTGGGGGGGCAGAGAGGGCTCCTCTGAAGCTGAGCCCTTCTAGGGGCAGGGGGGACGCCCTGCCCAGTTCCCCAGGGGCAGCTCAGGCAGCCCCACCACCCTGCAGGGCTCCCTCCCCTGCTGCTGGGGGGGACTTTCTCGGCCCCACCCTGGGAGAGGCCTGGCAGGTGTGCTGGGAGGAGGCGGGGCCTGCAGAAGCCCCGCCTCACTTCCTGCTTGGTTGTCACACAGCCAGGATTTTGGAGAGAGCACCTGGCACCTTCCCCGGGTTGAGGTGCGGAACCTGGGGCCTGGGCCCGCCTGCTTCCTGTCTCGCTCTTTCCGCCCCGGGAGGGAGCCGGGAGGAGCTGGGCGGCTCCCCGTCCGCGAGCGGAGACCGGCGTCCGCGTCCGTCACGGCCTCAGCGAAATCCAATTAGGGGAGAGGCACAGGCTGTTTCTCCGAGAACAAAACAAGGACCGAGCCAGCAGGGGCCCGGCCCCGCCCACAGGGTGGGGGCAGGGTGGCCCCTCCACTGCACCCCCGCGTGGGCCCAGGCGCGCGGGCCGGGGAGAGGCAGGGCCCCACGGGGCTGTGGCAGGAGTGGAGGCCCCGCGGCGGAGCCTCTTCATCAGCCACCTGCACGCGGTGGCTGTGAGCTGCTTGCCTTACTCACGTGGACTCGGACCTGTGGGGCGTGGACCTCCCGCTGGCAGTGGGGGGGCAAGTGTGCAGGTGCCCGAGACCCTCCCTGGAGACGCCCAAACCCCAGAAACGCTGGCCCGGGGCAGAGGCTCTGGGCTGACCTGAAGCTCTGGGGAGGGGCGGGGTGGCCCGGTGGGCGCCGGCGAACGCTGGCTGAGGATGGTGCTGGCTTGCACACTGCCTTACGATAACCCAACCACCCTGGCCCCATCAACCCAGAGAGCCCCCTGTTAGAGGGTGGGAAACTGAGGCACGAAAGGTTTGACCCCCAGGGCCCCCAGGTCTGCTGTCTGGGACCCCCCCCCGGACGAGCAGCTCCAGTGCTGGCCCCCATTGGCACGCCACTCCAGCAGCTGCCGTACTGGACGTGGAATCAGCGGTCAGGCTGTGAATTAAACACACACATGTGGTGACCATGGAGCCGGCGGTCGCCAATCAGCTGTCACTCAATACTTCAGCCAGTACCGCTGGCGGAAACAGAGCCCAGGGCAGATTCTCACGCCTGGCGCCGCCCCCCACAGCCCACCCTGTGTGCCCTCAGCAGTGGATGCTGCCGGGACCCCTGGCCTCGACTCAGACCAGGAGGGGCCTCTGCCAGGACCTGGATGACCAGCTGGCTGCCATCGAGCCCCTGGGCGGCCAGGTTCCGTCCTCAGAGCCCTGGACAGACAGCGGATCTGGGGCCCTGAGCTGTCGTGGTCTGGAGGACACGGTGCGGGGAGGTGTGGACTGAGAGCTCCCCAGGGCGGGGTGGCCTCTGCCGTCAGTGCTGTCCTGGGGCTCGGCCCTGCCGGCCCCACCCCAGCTCCTGCCTGCTGTCTTCCTGCCCGCGGTGCAGCTCAGCCCGTGCCTGCCCTCCCTGGGCAGGGGCCCTGCTGGGGCCCCCACCCCAGGGCAGCAGGTGCAGCGTCCTCCTGGTGCCCTGGCCAGGAGTCAGCCCAGCAGAGCCTCTGTGGGGTCAGTGGGTCTGCGAGGTCACGCCTCAGGTGGACTTGCCCGCCCCCTGGTGGCCGCAGAGGGAACCTCGTCCCTGGGCTGGGTGTCTGGGCGGAGGCTGCGGGCGTGGAGTCCCAGAGCTGGGCTGCCCAGGCCTCTCCCGCAGCGGCCCCGTCCCCAGCCTGTCCACACAGCTCTTTGCCCTCCGAGAAGCAGGGAGACGCACTGGGCGCACACGCTGGCATCGTGTGCGTTTGCGTCCTGTGGAGTGTTTCTGTGTGTGTTTCCTTAGGCTCCTACAGACCCGTCCAGGCGGCTGGGTGTGGGGGCAGAAGCCTGGCGTTGGTCACCAGCTCCCAGGAGGACCCTGGCCCTGGACGGCTGAGTCCCAAGGCCGGCTCTCCCCGAGAGGGTCTCTGTGGCATCGCCGTGTCGGGAGCTCCCATGGCTAGGCATTTTTTTTAAGACTTATTTTATTTATTTGAAAGAATTACAGAGGTAGACACACACACACACACACACACACACACACACACACACCCCTGCTGGTTCACTCCCCAAATGGCTGCAATGGCTGGAGCTGTCAATCCGAAGCCAGGAGCCAGGAGCTTCCTCTGGGTCTTCCCCCGTGGGTGCAGGGGCCCAAGGACTTGGGCCATCTTCTGCTTTCCCAGGCCAGAGCAGAGAGCTGGACGGGAAGTGGAGCAGCCGGGACAGAGCCAGCGCCCGTGTCGTGTGCCAGCACTGCGGGTGGAGGTCCACGCGCTGCGCCACAGCGCCGGCCCCGGGGCGTTCTTTATGAGCTCCCGTGCCCTGCTGGAGCCATCTGGTGGTGCCTGGGCTGTGTGGAGGCTGAGCCATTGCCAGGCACCGCCAAGCTAAGCAGGACCTGCCCTGTCCGCCCCCTCCCCGCTCCTCTTGGGGCCCAGGGGGGCTCACACAGCCCCCACCCCCAGCTACAGCAACTCCCTCCCTCCCCAGCTAGAAGCCAGGAGCTTCTTCTAGGTCTCCGACGTGGGCAGCAGGGGCACAAGCACTTGGGCCATGTCCACTGCTTTCCCAGGCCACAGCAGGGAGCTGCATCGGGAGTGGAGCAGCCAAGTCGAACTGGCGCCCGTGTGGGACGCTGGCCCTGCAGGCCGGGGCTTTAACCTGCTGACGTGTGTGGCTGTACCAGCAGCCGTCTCCCGTGCCCACGGCTGTGTCCAGCCACATCGTCCCATACCGCAGCCTGCAGCGATGGAGCCCGGGTCGCCCGTGGGCTGTGACAGGCAAAGGGGAAGGGGTGGCCCCGGGGGACCCTGGACCACGGCAGTGGCTGCCGCCTGTGGGGCCCACGCGAGAAACCGCACCCAGGATGGGGAAGCCAGCAACTCTGCACGACTACAGCAATAACCACGCGGTCCAGGCTGTGAGCTTTAAATACGAAATTCTATTTACAATCGGGCGCTGCAGGGCCTCACTGGCCACATGGCCCACGGCCACTGCTGCGTGCCCTTCCGCGGCCGGCAGGACACGTCCTGGGAGCACGCCTCCGGCACGACACGGCCCCTCCAGAGCTGCCAGCCCCGGGGGCGGGGGACGACCCAGCGTCCTGCTGTCCCGGGGGCCTTGGGCTCCTTCAGCTCTGCGCCGAGCCGGGCACGTGCCCAGGCACCCCCTCACTGTGTCTCCATCGCAACCGTGGGCCTCAGAATCCAATGTGGGGCCTCCCGTGGGTCCTGGGTGCTGTGGCCGGCGTCCGGAAGCTCCTGGGGCACCGCGGAGGCGGAGGCGGGGGCGGCGGGGCTGTCGGAGGCCGAGGACTGGCTGGGCAGGGAGGCCTCTGGGCCATCCGGAGACCCTGGGGGGGGCTTGTACAGGTAGCAAGCACTGGCGAAGAAGATGAAGCCCAGCACCTGCGGAGGAAGGGGGAGCGCTGGGAGGGGAGCCCGGCCCACCCCGCAGCCCCTTCCGGCCGGCCCACCCTCCCCCAGGCCTGTACACCTTTCCCAGGGGGCCAGCTCCCACAGGGGCACAGGTGGAGCCGGGAGCAGGGGAGCCCCTGCCCTCGCCCCACCCCCCGATGTGGCCAGGTCTCTGTGGATGTAATTGGGCCCCTGGACTCGGGGTGGGGTCCCTGGACTCGGGGTGAGGCCTCTGGACTCGGGGTGGGGCCCTTGGACTCAGGGTGGGGCCCCTGGACTCGGGGTGGGGCCCCTGGACTCAGGGTGCGGCCCCTGGACTCGGGGTGGGGCCCTGGACTTGGGGTGGGGCCTCTGGACTCGGGGTGGGGCCTCTGGACTCGGGGTGCGGCCCCTGGACTCGGGGTGGGGCCCTGGACTCGGGGTGGGGCCTCTGGACTCGGTTGGGGCCCCTGGACTCGGGTGGGGCCCCTGGACTCAGGGTGGGGCCTCTGGACTCAGGGTGGGGCCCCTGGACTTGGGTGGGCCCTCAGGTGCTGGGCACCTTTCCGGGGGGGGGGCCTGGGACAGGAGGCCTGGGGTGGGTGGGGGCATGGCAGGGGCATCCTGGGCCCACTGCTGCCCAGAGCCAGACAAGGCCCTGGAAGGCGCCAAGCCCACGGCACCTGGAGAGCATGCAGACCCCGGGGGTCGGCCTCTGCTGTGTGGAAGGCAGAGAAATGTGACGCGGAGAGGCCGCCCAGGCTGCCGGCCACAGCAGGCCTCGCGGACGCCACCAGGCCGGCCGCGGTACGCAGGGAGCGAGGACACCGGGCAGAACCCAGCGCGCTTCCTGGAGCGTCTCCCTGGGCCCCAGGGTGGGCGTGTGGGGGGGCCTGGCTGTGTGGGGACTCAGGGAGCAGCAAAGGCCACGCGGGACTTCTGGAGGGGACGCTGCCAGGTCCTGCTGGCACCCGGTCTGTGGCCCTGCAGCCGAGTCACCCCGGGACAGCCACAGCCCATCCAAGGGCCCGGACAATGCACCTGGGAGATAGCCAGCGGTGGCCTAAGTGCTTGGGTCCCTGCAGCCCACGTGGGAGACCCGGGAGGAGCTCCAGGCTCCTGGCTTTAGACTGGCCCAGCCCTGGCTGTTGCGGCCATCTGGGGAGGGACCCAGTGGGCATTCGGAGAGTGGACTGGCAGATGGGGCACAGGACAATCAGCACTTGCAGGGCTTTGGGAACTAGCCCCATGCGGGCGTGGGCTCCCCAGCAGGGACACGGATGCGGGGCAGAATCGCGGGGTGCGGGCTCCCCAGCAGGGACACGGATGCGGGGCAGAATAGCGGGGTGTGGGCTCCCCAGCAGGGACACGGATGCGGGGCAGAATCTGGTCTGGAGCTCCACCCCAGGCCCTGCGCGGCTGTTCTATGCTGACCCCAGGAGAGGCTCTGGTGACCTCTGGCTCGAAGCTGCCCCCTTCCGGAAGCTCCCCCTGGCCCCTGCAGGCTGACACCCCAACCCCGAGCTGGCCTGGAATCCTCGGAACCCTGGGATCTCAGTGTGTTCTGAAGCTTTTGTGCTCTCTCCTCTACGGGAAGAGAAAGCCAAAGCAGACATGGGGCCTCCGCCCGGGCAGCCCAGGCACCGGTCACCGCCGGAGGTCCCTAGCGGCTGGAGGGCTGGGGCTCGGGCTGGGAAACCCCAGGGGCTTCGGGGTGCACGGCTGACAGAGGATGCGGCCCCGGAAGCAAATGGAAGGGGCTGTTTCCTCTCCAAGCTGTGCAGGCCGCCCCAGGAGCAGGAGCTGTGGGGGCCTGGCCAGGGCGCCCCACAGTCTGCCCGGGCCCCCCGCCCCCCTCCGCCTGCAGCTTCAGTCCCAGAGACCGGCTGCGAGGAGGTGGCAGCTGGGAGCTGCCCCAGGGCCGCCGCCGCAGGCCAGGCCCACCTTGTACGTGAGCCCCACGCCAAGCATGGAGCGGCTCATGGCCGCGTTCTGGTACACAAAGCAGGAGCCCTGCTGGCCACACTGGTCCTGCCAGAGCAGGCACGCCTTGTCCATCACCCAGCCGAACGCGATGGGCCCTGGGATGCCCCCTGTGGAGAGAGGGGCGTGCTCAGTGCCCACCGCTGCGGGGCGAGGGACCCGGCACCCCACGTCCCTTTCTCTGGGGTCTCGGCCCTGGGCGGGGGCAGGGGACTTTGGCACAAAGCCTCTGGGCAAGTGAATGGCAATGGCGCCCTCTAGTGGACAGTGAGGGGATGATGGGTGGGACGCGGGCTGGGGGCCCCGGCGCAGGGCACAGTACCTAGTGTTCTAACGAGGATCCACTGGATTCCAAGCGCAAAGGATCTCTGCCGCTCATGGACACACCTGCACCGGGAAACAGCGTCAGCCCCCACGGGGCGCGGCCGCATCACCGCGCCCCCTGGTGGCGGCTCGGGGCCAGAGGTCAGCGGTCCTGAGCCCGGCCGGGCTTACCGTAGCGTGGCGGTCAGCGCGGGGATGCTGCTGAGGAAGGTGAAGACAATGACAACGAACACGAACACCAGCAGCAGGGGCCTGGCCCGGCACGGCGCAGCGCACTTCCCCGCGGTCGCGTGGCCCAGGCCCGAGGACAGGTTGTGAGCGACACAGATACAGCCTCGGTGCACCTGAGGGCCAGCCACAGCGCCGGTCACAGGCGGAAGGGGCGGGGCCCCAGGGCCCGGCGCACGAGCGGGGGCAGCGGGCAGCGCCATGCTCACCTGCTGGCCGTCGGGGCCCGGCTCGGTGGCTGCGGGGCAGCCCGCGTGGCAGGGGGAGTAGTAGGTGAGGCCGTCGGAGCCGCACACGGGGCTGTAGTGCTGGGGCCCGCAGCCGCAGGAGGCGTTGCAGGCCGCGGCGGGCGTCGGGCGGCCTCCGGGCAGCGGGCTGGGGGGAGCGGCAGGGGTCAGGAATGGAGACCGGCGCCTGGCAGGCAGGGAGCTGCCCGGCCCGGCCCCCGCCCGCCCGCCGGGCAGTGCACACAGGCGCCTCACCTGCCGTCGTGGGCGGCCGGCAGCCCCGCCACGGGCGCGTGGGGGCAGTGCGTGAGGAAGACCAGGGTGGCCAGCAGGCTGGTGAGGGCGCAGAGCAGGCAGAGCCTGACCACGCCCGAGCCCCGCAGCCTGAACCTGTTCACGAAGAAGCCACCCAGGAACGTGCCGCCGCCGCCCGCCGGCACCACCAGGAACCCTGCGGGAGGCGGGAAACTGAGGCGAGGCCTGCGGGGGCGGGGGCGGGAGCCCGGCACCCACCGTCCCTCCTCCCGGGCAGCCTCGCGCCCCCGCCCACCAAGGCCAAGCGTGGCGGGGATTGTCCACAGAAGCCTGTGCCACGTGGAGTCGGCAGCGGGGACGGGGCCCTCACGCTAACAGGTGCGCAGGGTGGGGCATGGGGGGAGGAGGGCCCCCCAAGGGGAGTCCCACAGGTCCTGGGACTGAGACCTGCAAGAGTGGGGTGGGGGTCTGCCAGCGAGAGGGGCTGAGGAAGGGGGGGCCCTGGGACGGTGGGGGAAGGCCAGGAGGGGTGTCTGGGGTGACACAGCTCCACCCGCCCCTGGCCAACCTTGCCCACCTGGCACCTCCCACCAAGCGTGTGATTGGCACACAGCAGGTGCAGTGGACACTGGTGGAGCGAGGGGGTCTGAGGGGGCCCCCAACCCCACAGACCCTGCGGGGCCAGCCGGCCTCTGGGCCCAGGCCCCACCCCTTTCCTCCCCCTGGGGGACCACTGGCCTTCCCCAGGGCCAGCAGGCTGTGGTCAGCACTGCCCACGCGCCGCCACCTCTCGGCCCGCCAGGCCCTCCCTGCCAGCCCAGCCCACATCTGCCCCCCACCTCGCGCCCCGTCTCGGTTCGCCACGGCCCCTGGCACCGCAGAGACCGCACGATTCCGCTTCCTCACCGAACAAGGTGGCGGCCTCCGAGGCACTCAGGCTGAACTGGGCCTCAAAGAACTTGGGCCCGAACGTGGACATGCCGGTGATGAGCGTGGCCTCCGTGGCCCCCGCCAGGCACAGCAGGACGAACACAGGGTTCCTCAGCAGCAGCCAGATGGAACTGGACGGGGGGGGGGGGGGGCGCAGAGACGGAGGGTCAGCGCGGGCCGGGGCGCGCGGAAGCCGCAGCTCGAGGCCCAGCGGGGAGGGGCGGGACGGGGCGGCGAGGAGCGCCCTGCAGGCTCCAGAGAAAACAGAAGGGGTGCAAGGGGCGGCCCCGGCGGCCAGGGAACCGAGGGCCGCGGAGGGGCAGGGCCTCAGCACCGCGCCGGGCCTCGTTCCAGCCTCGGACGGGGGCAGGCCCCGGTGACCGAGACGGGCGGCGGGAGAGAGCTGCCTGGGGAAGGGGTGGGCGCCACATCCAGGGACTGGGCCACAGGTTGGCTGGAGGGCCCTCCCGGGAGCCCCCAGGCGGGCGAGGCTGGCTCCCTCCTCGTGGTTTGCACGTGGCCACCGGAGGGCTGTAGGGCCCCCTGGGCAGCCTGCTGCTCCGCCCGCAAGTCTGGCCTGGGACCCTCTGAGCGCCGGGGGACCTGTGCGCCACTGGCCCCGGGGGAGGACAGCCTCAGGCCCCCCCCACATCCCGGGGTGGCCCTGACCAGACTCCCTGGGGGTTGGCACAGAGACCGGAGCCTGACAGAACCCATCTCCACATCGGTGCCCACGTGAGCTGAGAGGGGACCGGGGGGAGGGTCGCTGTCACTGCTCCCACGTCAGAGACCACGCTACGTGGAGGCCACAGAACCAGCAGTGGCCACAGAGCCACAGCAGCCGGCGAAGGGAAACCCCCAGGCCGTGCTGCCCGCTGCTCCCCTCCCCACTGGAGACCACGGATCCTGAGGGGCCGCACCCCTGCCTGCCGCGTGTCGCCCGGGAGGCACCCCCCAGGGCGGGAACCCTTTGAGTCACCCCGTCCCCGGCAGGAGAGCCATGCTCCCGCCCCTGCCAGCTCTCCAGATGGCTGTGACAACTCCCGGTGCTTGTCACTCAAACGCTCCTCACGCAGAGGACCTGGGCCAACAGCCCCCGTTCTGACGGGCGAGTGTGTGTGGTGCAGCTGTCTGGGGGCCAGCAGTGGCCGGAGGGGCAGCTGCTTAGAGAAGGAGCCGCTCCGGCTTCATGGACACCAGCGGGGTCCCGGCCGAGCCCCGCCTTTGTCCCTCCGGCCAACCGCGGACCGCCGCAGCACGGCCAAGGACGTGCACATGCTGGGGTGTGGGGCCCGGTGCCGGGGGGAGCTTGGCCAGGCTCCCGCGAGGGTGTGGTGGCCTCTGTGGGATGCAGGCTTTGTCGGCCCCAGCCGGGGCTCTGAGGGTGGGCACCGGGCCAGGACTCGCTTACCCTCATCAACCAGGTCAGGGAACTCAGCCGGGGCCGGGGTCCCCCTGCCTTGGGGCTCCCACTGTGCACACCTCGCCCGGAGCCCGGCGGCCTCACTCAGCCCTGAGCAGCTCTGTGTGCGAGCCCCCCAGCCCCTGGGCCGCAGGGGTCAGGGGTCACACCCCCTCTGCGGTGGGCCGAGCCCCTCCCTCGCCAGGACATCCTGCTGGGTGCCCTGCGGGGTGAGGAGGGGGGGCCGCATTCCAGGAGCCCGCAGGCCCCACGTGGCCCGTGAGGCCCAGGGGCTCAGGACTTCCGGCCCTTGCTCTGTGAGTGAAGCCAGGAAGGCCAGGGGGAGCCTGGCAGGCCGTGGGCTTGGGAAAGCCGGGCCAGACGGGCGGGTGGGGGAGGCGGGGCATGGAGGCGGCAGCACTTGGAGCTCCCGGGCGGAGGTCCAGGCCACGCTCAGCGGGACGGCAGCAGGTCCCAGGCTGCTCGAGGGGGCTCCCAGGAAGGGTATCAGGGTCCCTGAGACCCTGCTGGGGACCCTGCAGCACCCAGGCCCGCAGGAAACCTCAGGCCGGCAGGTGCCAGGACAGCCGGGGCCCTGCACAGCGGCTGCTGTCCCTACCCGGTCCCTGGATGGTCCTGGATGGCCCCTCCTGGCCCCCCCGCCTGGCCCCTCCTGGCCCCCGGGTTGTCCCTGGGCACTGGGCAGCTTGGCCCGAGCCCCTTGGGGCTGCTATGCAGAGGTTCCTGGGTTCGTGGGGGGCACACTGACTCCATCTGGGGCCCTCAGCGGGTCTTGTGCACACACGCAGGCAACCCCGCCCCGCCTCCCTGGGCACCCAGGTCCTTACAGGGGCAGGTCCCTGACGGTCCTCCCGAAGTCAGGGCTGCTGGTGGCCTTGGGGCCGCCGTCTCCCAGCCGGTGTGTTTCTGCTGCCCGCATGACCACGTAGCGCTGGGAGCCTGAGAGACAAGGAGGAGTCAGCGGCAGCCGCGGCTCTGGGGGCCCGGCCCCGCCACCCTGCACCCGCCACCCTGCACCCGCCACCCGCCACCCTGCACCCGCCACCCTGCACCCGCCACCCGCCACCCTCCACCCGCCACCCTGCACCTGCCACCCTCCACCCTGCACCCGCCACCCTGAACCCTCCACCCTGCACCCGCCACCCTGCACCCTCCACCCTGCACCTGCCACCCTCCACCCTGCACCCGCCACCCTCCACCCTGCACCCGCCACCCTCCACCCTCCACCCTGCACCCGCCACCCTGCACCCGCCACCCTCCACCCTGCACCCGCCACCCTCCACCCACCACCCTGCACCCGCCACCCTCCACCCTGCACCCGCCACCCTCCACCCTGCACCCGCCACCCTGCACCCTCCACCCTGCACCTGCCACCCTCCACCCGCCACCCTGCACCCGCCACCCTCCACCCTCCACCCTGCACCCGCCACCCTCCACCCTGCACCCGCCACCCTGCACCTGCCACCCTCCACCCGCCACCCTGCACCCGCCACCCTGCACCCTCCACCCTGCACCCGCCACCCTGCACCCTCCACCCACCACCCTCCACCCTGCACCCGCCACCCTCGACCCTGCACCCGCCACCCTGCACCCTCCACCCTGCACCCGCCACCCTCCACCCGCCACCCTCGACCCTGCACCCGCCACCCTGCACCCTCCACCCTGCACCCGCCACCCTCCACCCGCCACCCTCCACCCTGCACCCGCCACCCTGCACCCGCCACCCTGCACCCTCCACCCTGCACCTGCCACCCTCCACCCGCCACCCTCCACCCGCCACCCTGCACCCGCCACCCTGCACCCGCCACCCTCCACCCTGCACCCGCCACCCTCCACCCTGCACCCGCCACCCTGCACCCTCCACCCTGCACCCGCCACCCTCCACCCTGCACCCGCCACCCTCGACCCTGCACCCGCCACCCTGCACCCTCCACCCTGCACCCTCCAGCATCTGGGAACAAAGGGCAGTGACAGAAGCCTGGGGGGAGCAGCAGGAGGGGGATGGGCGGGAGCCAGCTGGGAGAAGCCCGCTGTTGGCCCAGGGGTGTGGGACGGCGCCCACAGCCGGCCAGGCCTGCCTGCCCCAGCCCGACGGCAAGGCGAGGAGCAGATTCTGCCCCACGGGGTGGAAGTGACGGGAGAGCAGGGGGCGGGAACAGGGGACGGGAGGGCAGGGGGCGGGAACAGGGGACGGGAGGGCAGGGGGCGGTGGCTGTGGCTCCCTCGCTCTGAGGGGTGGGGGTGAGGGAGTGGGGGTCCTGTCTGCTCAGGCTGGGGGCGGGGTCCTGTCTGCTCAGGCTGGGGGCGGGGTCCTGTCTGGGGCCCACCTGGCAGCTGCCTGGGGTAGGCGAGGATGGGGATGGCGATGAGGACAGCGGCCACTCCGGAGCCCAGGAAGCCGATCCACCAGGCGCCGACCCAGTGGGGGCTGGCGGTGCTCAGCTCCGTCCTGCAGGGGCAGTGCACTGGTCAGTGGCCAGCCCACCCCTGCCCTCCACAGTACACGTGCTGGGCCGCTGACTCTTCCTCCAAGCAGGCCTCCAGGCTCCCTCTGCACACAGGCCCCAGACCCCAGCCCTTCCGGCCCTCGGGCGAGACCTCAGCGGGCTCTGGCCATGCGGTGTTGTCGGGGCAGGGGTGGCAGAGGGCGCCCCCGGCCTCCTGAATCCTGGGGGCAGCGGCTCAGCTGGAGCCAGCCAGCCCCC